ATCAAATATCAAGAAATCCTCCGTATCTTACAGAGGTACAATTCTGTGGAATTTTCTACCGATTGGATGCCGAATGGCGAACAGTGTAAACAGCTTCTTTAAGATGATCAATAATCTTACTTTGGTCACGGACATTAGCTTTGCGAATATATACTGCAGAAGATGACTCGACTGCCCATTGGTATACGTTTATTAGTCACATAATTTTAATAATTAGGTAATTATTATTAGCTACAAATTTTTATGTAAACTAGATTACACCTTACATTGTAAATTTTTTTTTTTGTTAATTCTTTATTGTTTATTTATACACGACCCCACAAGCTGCAAGCTTAATTACTTATCGTGTTTAATTAAATAAAGGTTACTTTCTTACTTACTTAGTGACCAGTCACTTTCACTTACAACTGACCTACAATTTGTTTTGTGCCCCAAAGACATCTTGATCAGCGAAAATAGCCGTTAAGTAAAAATTCCTTCTCTCTTCCTCAGTGTGCCCGCATTTTGGAGAGATGTCATAAATCTATAACATTAAATCTGTTTACTTTCTGAACGAAATTGTGTCGGGTTTCTTCCTCTTTACTCTTTACTTACTGAAAGCAATATGATATATGGGAGCCAATTTTACCAGTCCATTTCACATCATTGGATTTATTTTGAATCTCGCTTTTATTTTAAACATTAAATTTGGCGACCCCAGCTATTGTTTTAGAAGGTATAGCGGTCTTTTCCAATAGGGGTATCGTACGTCTTGCAAAAATCCTTTTTGTCATAAGGTCATAATGTATACATGCATGTGACCGTGTCTATTTGATAAGAGACGCTTGTATTTTTGAGGTCATTAGTTACTCCCAGTATGCATCTGTGTTATGGTCTCTTGTACACTGATACTCAAAAAGAAACTTACGAGTTATTACGAACGCAATGTACCGGAGGTGTATATAGAGAAAATGACAAACTATGCTATATATTTGCATGATCTCTTTCGAGTAGTGATCAGTAGTTAACAGGCGGTTTCCGATTTTCTCTTTGCGTCAAAACAAGTGCTCGGGTAAAACTTTTCACATGAGAGATTAGTTTTAATTACACACGCACGTTCACTTTCTATCACACTCATTTTCTGAATGAAAAGTTTTGTACGAGAAATCGCTATAAAAAAGAGGCAAAAGGTAACTCGGAAATGGCCAGGTGTCATTTGCAACTTTCTTTTTAACCATAACCTTTTTATGGCGCTCTCTTGTAAGATAAGCCTTAAACCGAGGGGAAAAAATCCCTGTCCTTGAGCTCCTTAGGAAAGATTGCATTACGAGCTGATAGGACGTCTTGTTACGTCTACACTAGCCTACGAGCAGGCTCATCTTTGAGCGGCACACGCGCGAGCGGCCAAGAGCAAAGCGGTGAAGAGGCGCCAAGAAAGTCACTTTCTCGTCTCGCGGCTTCGCCACTCGATTTTACGCTCGCGGCTAAGCCGGGCACGCTTGTGCTCTAACGTGAGGCTGCACGCAGGCTACGTCTACACAGGAGGACACCCCTACCACACTCCTTTCGTCCTTCTTTTGGAATTCCTCTTGGAAGCCTTTAGCCGCGAGCCGGAGTGTGTTAGCAATATTGTTATAGCATTGTAAACATTTATTCCGCTAGTCTTCACAATTTTTGAGGGATTTTCACTCATTTGTCAGATGTTAAGCTGTCAAATATTACATCAGTGTCAAGAACGCCAGGCGAGGAATGCCTCTTGTTTCTCAAGTACCGACAGCCATGCAACTCTTCTCCCCAGGATAACGTCGGTTTCTTCGGCTCATTATCGTCCAAAGCTCGGTTATGGCCTGACTTCTCGTCACCCACTCGTTTTCCATCGTTGTTAGTCAACTTCTCATGTTTTGGAACTTTCTTAAATTCGCTCTTCCTCTGCCTATCTCCTGGCATATGTCCGATCGGAAGGGTCGAGCTTCGTTGACGCTGTCGTGTCGTCGTTTCCTTTTCATGGTTGCTCTCGCTGGCTCTTCGTACACGAGTCGGAAAACCGTGTTCCGACAATGGTGGAAGAGGACTCCGACCAAATTTCGAACACCTCTGTTTTGAGATAGCCGTCGATTCTTCGATTATACTTGGTAACTGAAGAAAGCCCTGTTTCTTAGTGCTGTCTACAAGTGCAGCTTGTACCTTTTTCTCTGCATTTTGGTGCTCCTCTTCGGCCCCGACAACAGTACAGAGGGTGGTTTCCTCTGACCTATTTTCTTCATCGCTTTCAGATGACGATTCTTCGCTAGGATGTGTTAAATTGTAATGAATCGTTCTCCAGGTATATCTTTCAGTCAGGATTTTCGAAATGGTGGAATGATGTTCGATGTCCAAGCGGCGGAGTTTCTCGTTGAGTTCAGCGTTTGATTTTTGTCTGACTACTTTGTAGGATTTCGAACTTTGTCGCGAAAGCCCTGGATCAGTTCCCGTGCGGTAATATCGAGACATTTCCCCCTTGAATGCTAATCAACACTTTTGTTGAACTATAGACCGTGCAGTGCTTGTAGAGAAGCGACGTAGTGTCCTCGTAAACATGGAATAAAAACTCCGACCCACAACTGCGTTGGTATTGTAAACAAAGAGCTTTGAAGATCAGATTTGACCAGATTTGGCTACCAAACAAGTTAGATTTCCACGTTCGCAGGGTTTTTCATTGACTATCCAGTCAGCGCCTTTTCGAACAACGATAACTTTGTTCGCAAACATGTGTTGAGCTGCGTAATTCAAGAATGCTCTTCAAGATTGCGCCTCTAAACTTTTGACGCCTTGGACTGCTGAATCAAAACAGACCGCTTTTGACAGGTGCGATTGTTTTTCCATCTGGACACATGTCTCGACTCGGCCACAAAAAGTGTTCTCGTTTTGGTTTAGAAAAAAAAGCCGCGAAGTAAAGTTTATACAGTGTTGAATATCCCTGAACTGTCGCTGGGTTTTTTAGCAGTTTGGAGCAAATAATGTTTACGTGCATAGAAACCTGATGACAGATGGTAGCCCAGTGAAACATGAACCTTGTGAAAACACTGAATCGTGCTTTGCTTACTGTGGGAACCTTTTGGCCACACAGATGCATGAAGCAGCAGATTTCCCGAGATTTGTTTTGTTGCTCTTTGTGAATTGTCTTACCAATAGACAAAATAAAGAAAGCTACGGTATTATTGAAGGAATGCAATGATTAATTAAATCTAGGAATCACGAGGTTCGCAAGGAGAGTGTCGTAGTACATCTGTGGTTTGAGTACGTGGCTGATGAACACCACGAGTGATCCCGTCTGAGCGCTCAAGGGATTCACACATCCGGGTCTGATTTCTTTCTTTTCGCAAGTTAACCTATGCATCTAATTCTGGCACACAGCCGTCGTTTCGGATGTACACATAATTGGGATTAAAGTGGTTATCAAAACAACAGCCAAAAGCAACATTTAAAAATAGATTATAGACGACGGGATTATAACGCGATGGCTGAGACCTGTCAGTTCAACAGTTCATCACGCGAAGCTCAGCTTTCGTGGTCTGTGCTCACGCACATGGGGTTTCCAGGCCATCAGTCTCTGAAGCCAAGTATAGAAGTATTCCTAACTGAAACTATTTTAAGGTCGCAAGATTTGAACGAAGAATGTAGATCTCGAAGGAAGAATTACATTGTAAAATAATCTCATAACTAACCTCTGCCCACCCACCCACAAAACCCCATTCACGCAATGAATAACGGGCGCCGTCAAATGTGATCCGCGGTTCAGTGGTGTTGTTCAATTCACCATGTAGCTGGAGGGCTCACGTTAGAGGATCAGCATCGGACTGGCGGCTGTGCACCATTAAAAAAAAGAGAGAGAGAGAACAAAAATCTACACCCCCTCGGAAAAAAGAAAAAAAACACTCAGTTGCGTTGCTTGACAATTGCTGAAGAGGAATTCAACGAAGAAAACCGACACTCATTCATCCTCACGACTCGACCAGCCGTGCGGGAAAGACCACAGACACACGAGGGTGCCGAACTTAGCCTTCGAACGAAGACGGATTTCCGCCTGATTCCAGGATCGCGACCGGACTCGATCGCGAGAACGGAAATCGATGAGCATCACGTCAATCATTAGCCTGCGCAGCAAGTGTTCCCGTAGGAACGAGGAGCTTTATTTTGCATCCTGCCTACGCGAAAATTGAGGTGGAGTAAAAAAATCGACGAGGCGGGAAGTAGTGGGGCGAGTTCCCCCGTCTGCCCCACAACTCCCGACGACTCCGTCGATGTTTGCTCTCGCAAAAGTCGGAGTCAAAAAGCAGTCTCTTTCTTCAATCTACATCTTTAATTGCTAAAAGAATACACACCTAAAACCGCTTTGATTATATAATACAGTCATAAAATGTACGACAATAAATAGTGGCCCGTTAGAACGGTACTAAATGAAAATGAACAAATGCGAAAAGCAATTTTTTTATGACATCTGTGGATGTCACTGCCAGTTAAAATAGGGAGAGGTGGGAAGCGACGAACATAGCATCTCGATTCTTGCCAAGCTGAATCTGACAGAAACACAGCTACGTTATTAGGCCAATATCCAGCCATCGCGACAGGCTTGATCAGTAACTCATAAGGTCAGTAAGGTGTACATAACGGTTTCTAAAGTTTAACTTTCTTGGCATACTGATCAAAATCTTTCTTGTTTAGTTTGTAAGCCCAGTGTTGAAGAGTTTGTCGAACTACAGGTGACACGGCAAAGTTATCATAAGCACAACCACTTCGAACGATCTTTGAAATGAGGTTGTTTCTCCAGCGTCCCTTGTCTCCAGCACATTTCTTCCATCGATCCACTTGTCGTCTGTCATCTTCTGTCCGGCGACCAAGATAAAATCTGCAATACCTAAACATGAATAACAACACATCATAATAAACCTTTGACGCTCGCCCAATGATACTTTCCCTATGGTGACTTATTTCAGATGAGATGGAACTATCCTTGCAAAGCGCCTCCATACGCCCTTACAGGATTAGCCTCTAAGGAGACTCATCTTTGAGTCCCACTGACAAGTAGACAAGATTGAGTTAACCAGCAAAATGAGCTGGTGGAGAGAAGTCTGGTACAGAGGTGCCAAGAATGTGCTCCACAAACTATGCCCGGCATAACACTAAGCCAAACTAGCTGCCTACTTCACTTTTTAAACATAGAAAAAAAAAAAAATGACAACTTACCATTGAAACCAGCCATAGGGGTCTTGCTTGTGAATCCAGCCAGATGACTCCCACATTTCCAAGCTCCCTCCACATTTCACTTTATATGTGTTGATCTCATTGTGATATGTAGATGAAGTCACCTGTGTCTTGATATTGAGTCCCTTGAACCAGTCAGAAGGAAATTCCTTGTATACTTCAACAGTGTATTTCTTCCCTGAAAAATAAAATGTTCGAACTGAAGATGCGAAGAAGCAAAGTTTTAAATCTCTAAAGCGCTATTGAACCACTGGGAAACAGTGCTATATAAGTGTCTTATTGTTATAATTTCGTTATTAAATTCCATTTGAGCTACAAGTATGCTAACAGTTCTGTTATTTAATAAACAGACAGTGCCTGCTAACTTACTAGATCTATGTACGTGTACTGGTATCATGACAATTATTGAGAATTGGTGAACAGAAAACAAACAGCTAACTGAAAAGTGACCCCCTCCCCTCTTCCAATTGGGTGTCAAAGAGTGGTGCTAGGACATCTTTTAACAACTGAGTAGTCTCCTATACAGTCATTTTTGGGAGATTTGGGGACAAGCATTGTATGACAACCTCAAAACTAAAAGATGCCAGGAAATGAAGTTGCTTAAGTTTGTATCATACCAGTACAGTTATGTTGACCTTATCATGTGGATTTAACTAATTATTTAAAGTTAGTATGTAAGTTTTTGTCATAATTGGTAAATTAAACTGATGAGTAATCAATGACCAATCAGTAATATCAATGAGCAATTGATGATAGCAAGAGTAATTTATAGGCTGGCGATAATTCAGTGATAACTCATCCAACATCAGCAATAAAATATCAATGAGAAATCAACTGATTATCCTAATGAAGGTGAAAATCTTCTGAAGAACATTAGGGACTCCTGAGGATATCTCTAGCCAACTCAGTACTAGGATCCTATAAGAACCCAGAAGACCCTGAAGAAATCTTGTATGATCCTGGTGAAGGTCCTGTTGAATCCTATTCAAGAACCTACATAGGGTCCTATCTAGGACCCTGCAAAGATCTTTAAAATTGCTGTGAAGATGCTGCACAAGATCAAGGAACCTTGAGGATCTTGCAGGAATCTTTCAAAGGGTCTTTGCAGGGTCTTGTGAGGAACTTTAAATGAGGTAATTGTAAAGAACAGCTCCCAAAACAACCTGTCGGCTTTCTGTCGGCTGTCTGTCGGCTGTCTGTCGGCTTTCTGTCGGCTGTCTGTCGGCTGTCTGTCATCTGTCTGTCGGCTGTCTGTCGGCTGACTGTTGGCCAGCTGTTGGCCGTTTGTCAGCCAACAGACAGCCAACTATTGGCCGACAGGTTTTGGCCAAAACACAGACCAGCAGTCAGCCGACAGTCGGCCAACTGTCAGTGATCCGTCTGTACCATTTCGGGTAATTGTCAGTAGCACGGGACAGTTACCTTGATTTTGTTCCTCCATACTGCACCCGAGATATATAATAAATTTAATAGGAAGGTATGTCCTTCTAAATTTGGTGATCACTGTTTAGGACTAGCGCCAGCGCTGCAGAAAATGTATAGCCAACTTTTTGTTTTAGCAAACTGTTGGTAACTTGGCAGTAACCTGTCGGCCGACAGCTTACCGACATTCAGTTTCGGGAGCCATTTTTCACAAATACCGACAATGAAACACTTGGCAAGATCAGAGAGCACTTTGAGAATCTGTATGAAGATCTCCTACAAGAAAGCCAAGGTAACTATTAAAGTTTGTCGATTTTCCTGTCAAGCTTACTTTTAAAGATCTATTTCACAGGCGGCCCAAGCTTGCAATGTTATCCTTTTTTTTACACTGAAAATTAAGAATAAAATGACGGCCAGAAGTCGAAGTGGAAGTTCGTCGAAACGCTAAATTATATGGAAAGAAGGAACCATCTTTATTTACACACGATTGACCAATTATACGTGTAGAATTCCGCAGACTTGCAACACTGTACTTTGCTGCGGAACAAGTTGGTCACAATCGTGGTAATACGTGCAACAGAGGGTTTCAACTTGCAATGCAACAATGTTGCGAGACAAGTTGAAGAAAAATGTTGCCCGTATTACCGGACCTTTAATTTCAATGATCTCTCTAGTACAGTTGTCACCACGTTTTTCTACTTCTGCTCTTGACTGATTACAACAACTATTACAACAACTAGGAGTTCACTCGTCACGTTCCTTTTAAAAGGACAACCACATGATCCATCAAATCACTGTCAAACTGTCAATTATGCGCAGTTCGCATAAGGTTCTATACCGACTGCTCACAAACTAATTAGCGTATTTTCCTTCGAGGTTATCAAGGTTGATTAAAACATTTTCTACCTTGATTTTAACCGACCATTCCTAAGTGGTTGACCAAAATATGGTAACGTGAGTAATATAAAAGTTACAATCTTGGTTTTTATTGATTAAAAGTTTAGGATAACACTAAGTTTAGAAGTAAAGGGTGATGTCATAAATTTCTTGCGACATAAGTGTTACTAACAAAACAATCGTACAATCCCAAGTTCGTGGGTTAGCCTTTCTCAAATTCTGAACCCGCCTAGTCCATATCATTATCTGTACGTGCTCTCGAGTTTCAACATATTCAAGGAATCGCCACCATGTTTAGGTGGTTCGAAACAGTTTTTTTTTGGACCATACCTAGCATTTTCAATTGGCGTTTTACCACCCTTCCCTTACTCTGATCGATGAGGAAATTACACCAGATTTTGGAACAAGAATGAAGTTTGGTTGAATGTGTTTTTTTAAGGTAATCCATATTTCCATGGAAACGATAAACCAAAAATATGAAAATCGGTAAAGCATGAATTTTGTACGAACCAGAGTTATGGCGGTGCGTGACATACCGCTCCGATCGCGTTTGTGGAAAAATACACACTTATCTAGTGATTTTTAGTCTTTGTAGGAGTTAAAGTGTTAGGAAAAGAGCTTGTGTAAAGGTTTATTGCTTCAGTTCAGATAATCAGTCGCCTAGATAGCCAAAGTAAGTTCCAGATGTTTACACTATTTTCCGGCCGCCATGTTGGTGGAGAACAGAGCTCCACCAACATGGCGGCTCCATACTGGGCTCTGTAAATTTGCGCAAAGCATTTGGACGAATATCTGAAGTTTGGGCAAACGCAGAGACCNGCCATGTTGGTGGAGAACAGAGCTCCACCAACATGGCGGCTCCATACTGGGCTCTGTAAATTTGCGCAAAGCATTTGGACGAATATCTGAAGTTTGGGCAAACGCAGAGACCTAAAACTTGGAGAAATGTCTTCTTTACCTATCTCCTATAACGTTACAATTTCATGACTTTATCCACTGAATAGTTTTCGATTTGTTTTTTCGTTGCGTGACAGTGAAAACCTTCTATTCTTCTATTCCTGCTACGTTTTCTCCATGTACCCAAAAGAAATGTCCAAAAAATTAACAGACGGACTCCTCTTTATGGGTTTTTATGTTGTTTCCATCGAGGTACCGCGTTTAACCAGTCAGCACATTCCATAACTCCAAGAGACAACGTTTCTATACTCTGTACTTTTAGACAATTCTAATTTCCGACCATTTATGAAATCGACAACTTTTTTTATAAGGACTTCGCTGATTCTACTGTGGCACGCTACCCCGCATAAATATTTTACAAATTTTACTATAATCATAAATCGTCTGAAAATCAAGTAAAGATAAACTAGGAAAGACCGCAGATGTTTACACTGCACACGAAGTTAAGTTAAGGTGCGTAAAATTATCAAAATTGTACCTATACTTACTTAAATTTTTTCCTTCTTGTATTAGTAAAATTAACCTTAAAAGTTATAAAAGCGGAGGATACAACGGCGTTGCCGTCTGTCACTTTGTGACTTAACTCTGTCTTACCCTACCTACAAATAAATCTTTAAACTCGCTAAGATTTCGTTGACTTAAAGTTAACAAGAAATAAAATGCAAACAGCGGCAACAAACGCAACACACGAACTACGCATGGTTTGGAACAACAATCTAAAATTTTCTTGACGTTTCGCATGCTACAGCACGCATCTTCAGAAGTGGCGGTTACAAAAAAACGAAAGANAGATTTAAAACTTAAAAATACAAAGCGAGGTACTGGTAACTAACTAAACAATAACGAAAACAAAAGGTGATAGCTAATGAAGTGACAGCTTTTCACTGCTAGCATTGTCATTAAGTGTTCGTTTTAAGTCTCGTATAAGCAATGTTTCTTTTATTTTACAATGTAAATCACATTGTCCACTAGCTAAGACCTCGAAATGGTCCCATTTGATGTTATGGCCGGTGGAGATTGCGTGATCAGCAACAGCGGAAGCGTGACCCACTTGRGTAAGGGCTTTAAAATGCTCGACCTTTCTGTCATGCAGTCGTCGCTTTGTTTTGCCGATATAGAAAGCGTCACAATCCCAGCAGCTGGCTTTGTATAGGACTTTAGATTTTTGCGAGCGATTTAAACGATCTTTGTAAGGAAAAAAGGACTTAACTCGGCAAGTGTTGTGAAAAATCAACCTGAGATTGACGAAACCAAAAAATTTATTAACACAAGATTTAAGACGGCGTTTAAAAACTTCGCTTCGGAAACCTAAATAAGGAAGCACAAGGATTACATCTCTCTTGGGAACCGTAAAGACCTGTGAAGGTCTTTTTTCGGTTTACTGTTGTAGAAAAGGCATTTTGATGGCGTTTGATGAGGACATCTAAGAATGAGGACATCGTTGACTTCATTATTGCGAAACAATGATAAAACAAAAAGTATTCTTACTCCATGATTTTCTTAATTGTATCGTATTTTTCTACGCTTAATGTCTTTGAAAACCATTCACAGGTTTGCACAACTGGCACAAGTCATTCGATTCCTTTTTAACCCGAGGATTGCATTAGCAGGCTGCGGGTTGTAGTGGTCGAGCACATTATCCATATTACTCAAAGGTTAGCTCATTTCAATTATCATTCACTGCGAAATTCACGAGTTTGCTGATAGAGCACTTTGATTACATTCTGAGACAGGAACAGTTTTGTTTCAGCAGCAATTTCGACAGCTTTTTTTTTCTAACTACAATTCACTAAGTAACATTAAATTGATGATTGATTAAACGATCATCCCTTATCCAAAGAACTTGATTAAATTCTTCAAATTATCCTCGTGAAGACAAACAGAGACATATATAATAAAAAGAGAACAGGAGCATGATTATCATAGGGACTGTCATGATCTTTTTTACGATAACTGTAGAAATTCTCGTGCGCTCATTGGCTAAGTTTCATTGTCAATAAGCGGACAGACAAATGCGTCAACGAGCGAGAGCGGACAATTTGACAATTTGTTATCGTAAAAAAACAAATTGACATCAGTTTTCATACGTTTGTCCTGTTATTGACCATAAATTTTGTCATAACATTGTCAAAGTAGTCTGCGGATCCACTCGGCTATCGCCCCGTGGATCCACACCTACTTTGACAATGTTATGACAAAATTCATGATCAATAACAGGACAGACGCAGGAAAAACTGACGTCAATTTGTTAAATATATCACAGTCCTACTGGACCATAACTTCCCTGCTAACAGAGGCTCTCTTCCTGGTGTTCGTTGACGGGAGAAAAGAGACCTCTCCCATGGGTCGAAAATGGCTTTGATTTAACTGCCGTCCAACAGTCTTGGACGGCTCTATTTATATGTAAATCAAAACCATAACAAAATTCTCGAACGTGATTGGCTATCAGCAGCGCGATTTATAATGGTAATAGGACTGAGTGGAGTCCAATGCGGTCTGTAATCATACAAGTGATTAACAAAATCGGACGACCGCGAAGCGGGAGTCCGATTTGTTAATCACGAGTATGATTACAGACTGAATTGGACGACAAGATGTCCTGTTACCAATTAATCAAAACTATGACAAAATTCGAGAAACGAACAAACCATCGATTTAGCGCTGAACGATTAAACGTCGTTATGAATGCTGAAAAACACAGCAGTTTACTCAACTAATAATATACATGAAAAAATTACTCGATTCTGATTGGCTGAGAGCAGTGCAGATTTCAGAGTAGCTTGACCAGCTAATATTTCCGAGCAACAAAATATTTGACAACGAAAAATTAAAATAGAATTAAATCGTTCCTAGTGTCATTACTCATTATATCCAGTGGTTATCAACTCGTGTAAAACCAAGTGGTGTTAAGGTATCTTGGAACAAGTAAATTGGCTATCGCCTTTTAAATTATCCGTTCACTTGTAGCCTGCGAACAGGCTCCCGGTTGGGTTACTGGGTTTAGTGCGAGCTAGCCAAGTGTGGTCTAGGACGAGTGGGGAGAGCCGAGAGCGGAATGGTGACGAGGAGGAGCTCAATTCGCGAAATTCTTTTTTTCACGCTTAACGGCTCGCTTAGCTCGCTGATTCCCCACCCCCTCCCCAATCCCCCGCCGGATTTTTTTTTGCGTCCTCGCTGGGAGCCTGTTCGCAGGCTAGTTCTCTTGCCGTGGGTTCAGCCGTTTGAACGGGTATCGTAAGGAACGTCTTCACGTGCGAGTTCATATATTTACCGATGCATTTTTGTGGTTGAATCGCCAAAGTTCTTCCTTTAACGACGCTTTTAGGGTCGAGAAAGTAAAATTGGCGATGTACGTACTTCTTTTTACGTGACGCGTGATTGGTGAAAAAAATTCTCCGTGATGCGTGATTTAATAGAAAAATTCAGCGTAATGCGTGATTGGTAGCCCCATCTTTGCCACCCCCCGCCCAGTTTGCCATGGCCGGCCCCCCATGGTCCAGACCCCCAGGTATTCGGTCTGTTCGGTTTATAGTTGTGCGAAGTGGCGAAGTCTGACACAAATTATGTGAGTTATTTACATGACGCATCTAGCGCAAAAGCATCCGCTGATTGGTGGTAAAATGGCGGGCTCAATTATCTAAAATACAACATGGCGTCCGGTATACGGTGTGGCGCACGGTTGTTCTTAAGAGTATCATCGTCTTCATGCTGCCTTTCAAGAACTAGCAGGCTTACGACTAACACCTCGAGATACCTGTGGAGGTGTCGGCCAGCTAGTGCCGTTAATGCGGTAGGGATCGTTTTTGCAGAATCATAGAAGTAACTTACATAAGCTTAACTTTTAGCTTTAATTAAAACAGCTTTGAAGTTTGCATCAGAGAAGTTCAAAATTTTCTCGGTCCCTGTGAAAAAATTTTCCGACAGGCGCTGTGCCAGAGGTTGCGTTCCATAGAAGGGGGGTGGGGGGNGGTTGCGGTGCAGATAAAAAATGGAATGTCCCAATCGATCCTTCGAATTTTGAATTTCTTCAAATGTAGTTGGTTCTGCTATCTGCAAGTACATGTGGCCCACGATAAACTATTTATTTAGTTAGAGACTCATTTCTTCAAAGGTTTCGCCTAAACGGTTTTATGCAGATGAAAAAAGTTCACGTTTTTCAGAGGCATTCTCCTTTTCGAGGATAAACGAGGTAAGCTAAGTAAATTCTTTTCCCTAGCTGTAGATATACCTGTAAGACATGTAAACGTCTGCCTTATGCCCGAGAATTGTTTTATTTGTGTTTTTGAACATACATTTGCCATCTGTTAGGTACTAGAATTCATGCAAGGTACATGGACCCAAAAGTATACATATACACAAAATTTAATCTCAGGGCAATGACTCGATATCATCACAGGATACCAGGACAATAAATGGCGTTTCTGATTTTTGCCAGTTTGGGAACAATAAGTGACTGAGAAGGATAGCCATGGGAAAAATGATTTGAGTTAAAGGTAGCTGGGAGTTTGAGATAACTGATTTTGACGTAGGGAGATGCAATTGTGCGTGATATGTTAAGTTTGTTTTTAGAGTTTAAAGCCAGAAAATTCAGTGAATGCTGAAGCAAATACAGACTCCACAAGTTCTGATAGCTTGGAAGAAGGTCAAGATGATGATGGTTTGTTTGATTATTATTGTATATCAGATATAGAGTTTTGCTGTATAGTATTATACAAATCATGTATATTTACCAATATTTAGATTTTCTTGGTTCTTACATAACATTATGTACCCCCCTCCCTATCCTCACCCATTCAGCGGATGTGGAGAGGTAGGATTTTTTTCAAATGGAAATGACATTATTCTCTTTTTAATGATATTCCCCGCCATAATCCATTGCAAGCTAGTTTCATTCCAATACCGAGAATACCATTGTGGCCTTAACTGCGAATCTTTTAAAGTATCAAATCGCTGATTTCTCTGCATCTGTACTTCCAGATCCATTAGCACAGCAAGTGCTTCACTACAAAAAGCATTGTGACTGGTTGGCAAAAATAATGGGGAAGGATCCTGAATCATTTAGCAGTCAGGAATTGCAGGTAATGAAATTGTGTGCAAAGCTAGATTGTAGTCAGGTACATGTCACCATCAAAATAATGGACTAGACTGTTGTGTCTTGTCCAGAGCAAGTATTTGTACATGTACACTGTAGCCAGGCATTTAGGCATTGTCGAGGAAAAGGTTGTTGTTATTCATCGTGGTAGATGCAATAATAAAGTGTATTATCGTTTATCTCACGATGTAGTCACTTGAGATGTAGATCGCGACGTTTCGACTGCTTACTGCTAGTCTTCTTCAGGCGATAAGGTCGACTGATTGCACGGTATCATTTATATCACAAAGGTCGGCTGTGATTGGTGCATTTCGATCCTCC